CTGAGTACACATGTGTGCATGTCCAAAATTCTTTTTTTTTTTTTTTGGAGAGATTTTTGCTATAGGGCGCGTGCGCTCACCAGACAGACAGAGAGAGACATAGAGACAGAAAGCGAGAAATCACCCCCCGGGGGGATGGTCACGCCACAATCCCTTCTCCTCCATTCTCCTCTCAGGATCCTGGGCACGCACGCACACGCGCCCGGCGTGAGTTTCAAGCCACTGGGTCCAGGACGCGAACCACGGTCAACTGCGTGGTAGTTCAGCGACATGGCCATTACGCTAACTGCTGGTTCCCTGCATGTCCAAAATTCTGAGGGAAGAATATAGGAGAAGGGATTATAGTGTGGTCAACCTCCCTGGAGTGATTTCTCACTTTTCTTCTCTCTCTCTCTGTCTCTCTCTGGTGAGCACACATGCCTAATAGCCAAAAACTGAAACAAGAAACAAAACAAAACAAAAACCACCCCACAAGATGATGATATTCTACAGAAGGGCCTAGAGGACACATCATGTATCACAGTTATGAGGAATGTGCTGGAAAGTGGGACATCAGTATCACTTGGAAGCTTAGTAGTGCCTCCCCTAAATTTTGCAGGCCTGAGAGTAGGAGATACTGTTACAGAATTGAGTTTTTATATCACTGGGGATCCTAGGGCTAGGGTCCTCAAATGGTGGCGGCAACACTAACTTGTCAGAAACCAGGTAAATGCAGTCATTGTAATGAGCAACAAGGTCAAATGGCATCTGAGGAAGCCTGACCTATAGATGGTTGTGGAGATAACTAATAGGGCTCAGTGTCCTTGGGTAAAAAGAGGTGACCAGCCTACTACTGCTCAAGAGAAATCATGGGTGGATGATCAGGAGACCAAGAATTATTGCCTCAATAAAACACAGGATTCCTCACCCAATTTCTGTACTTGAATTAGTTTTTGGACTAGGAAGCCATCAACTGAAGGAGAGTGCAGGTCCCCAGAAGGAAGTATCCTGAAAGATCATAACAAGTGCTTATAAAGGAGTCACTCTGTCCTTCTCCGCAGGAACCTATGGCCATTTACCCCAGTAATTTTACACTGAAGAAAGCAGACATCTTTGAGGACTGTCAGATACTGTTAGACTGACACCTGGAGACCTAAACCATCATGTGTGTTCTCTTCATTTTGGAGTAAAGTAATAGTGGGGTCCTGGCTCAGGTCTGGCTCACTGTGGGTTCATGGGATCTGAGGCCCCCTCCAGTGGTCATTTTCCTAGTCCCTCTTAGCATGATTGGAATTGATATGGTTGGTAGTTGCCACAACTGCCATAATAGGGAAACTAGCCTGTGGGGTGAGAGGTCAAGTGAATGCCACTGAAATGGCCTCTTTCTACCCTGCCCACTAGCAAGATAACAACTTAAAAAAAATGGTACTTTCTGGTGGTGGAAAGAGTGGCAGATATCAGTATAACCCTTACAGATGCAAAGTGATAGTCCTCATGATATCTATAGTTAATGCACCAGTGTGGCACCTGAAGACAGTAAATGGATTCTGAAAGATGACAGTGGAAAACTGCAGACCAAACAGTAGCCCCAGTTACAGTTTCTAGGTTGAGCGGATTAGCATGGTCTTTGTTGTATGATATGTTGTCATTGATCTGGCTAATGCTTTTCTTCTTTCCCAACTCTAGGAAAAGAGAATTTTAGATAGCTTGTATTGACTTAGAAAAAGATGAAAATATCCATTTACAGTTTTGTTCTAGGGATATGTTAACTTTCCTGTCCTCTGTCATAAGATAGTCTGAGCTATCTGGAGATTATAAAGAATATCACTTTGGTTCACTATGTTCACTATGTTCATGAAGCCATGGCTTATCCAATCTGATTACCATGGCTTCACGAACATAGTATAGTAGATGCTTTGGTGAGACACAAACTCTAGAAGGTGAGAGACAAACCCTACATGGATTCAGAGACCCACTGTATCAGTAGCACATGTAGGGGATCCCACTCTGGGAATTGTTAAAATAGTCCCTCAAGGGACCAGCAGATGGTGTAATGGTTATATCGCTGGACTCCCACATAGTAGACTGTAGTTTGAGTCCTGGACCTGGCAGCTTAAAGCTCACATTGGGTGTGTGTGCTTGCGTGCACAAGATCCTGAGAGAGAATGGAGGAGAAGGGATTGCAGCGTGGCCATCACCCCTGCGTATGATTTCTAGCTTTCTGTCTCTCTCTTTCTTTCTCTGTCTCTCCAGCAAGTACAAGCACCCTATAGCAAAAATCTCCCTCCACCCCCCAAAAAAATTCCCTCAATGTAAAAGACAAAGACCAGTTAGTGATATGGTGGTTAAGGTAGCTGAATTCCACATAGCCAACTGTGCTGTATGAGTCCTGGACCGGAGGGCTTGAAAAGCACACTCGGGATGGCGGGGGACAACAGGTAGCATGGTTTAAAGCTCTGGATTCTCACATGACTGATGATGGTTTGAGTCCTGGACCTAATGACTTGAAATCATGCTGGGCATGTGCATGTGTCTAAAATCCCAGGAGAAGAATGGAGAAGAAGAGATTACGGCATGTCCACCCCCCTAGGGGTTGATTTCTCACTTTTCTTCTCTCTGGCAAGTAAATGTACATTATGAAAAAAATCTAGAAAAACAAAAAGAAAGAAATAAAGAAAGAAAAGATAAAAACACCGTGGGAACATGTGCATGTGTGCCCAAAATCCCAAGAGGAGAATGGAGGAGAGGGGATTGTGGCATTGTCATTCTCCCTGAAGGTGCTTTTTCTCTCTCTTTCTGGCAAGTGCATGCACCCTACAGAAAATTAAAAAAAAAATTAAAAGAGGAATTATTGTGATATCCACCTCAACTGCAAAGAAGAAAGAACAATACACAACTCTTGGCAGGCTGCTTCAGGTTCTGGAGGTAGCATATTCAAAGCTGAGAGTACTGCTGGGCTCAGCAGTGGGTGACATGCAAAGATGAGTGTGGATGTGAACCTGGAGCAGAAAAAGGCTCTGCAGTAGGCACAGGCTTGGGCTACATAACCAAGTCGATTTTATGGTATTGTGATCCTATGGTACACCATATGGTGTCAGTGGTAGAAAATGATAGCATGTGGAGTTTGTGGTAAACCTAGTAGGAGAATGAGTATAAACCCCTGGGTTTCTGGAGCAAGGCAATGCATTTGCAGTGAGAATTATACACCTTTTGAAAACTAGCTTGTGGATACCAGTAGAAACTTCATGCTTAATCATGCCACACCAAGTGGCCATATGGCCAGAATTGCCCACAATGGGCTGAATTCTGCCAGACTCTTGGGTTGGGAAGGCCCAACAACAGCCCCTAGTGAGATGAAATTGGTCATCTAGTCCTGAGCTTGAATAGGACCAGAGGGCACAAGCAAGCTTGCAGAGTCAGGGAGTCCAGAGCCCTGTGTTATCTATCCTAATCACATCAGTGCCCCTCCTTCAGGTCACTTCTGTGACTGCAAAGGGTTCCTTTAAAACCAGGGCTGAACAAGGAAAAAAAAATCTGAGCTTGGCTTCTGGACAATTTGACTTGGTATATGTGTTTAAGTTGAAAATCATGGTTGTGGTACCACAGCCCTTCCCAGGTAACCCTGAAAAAGTGGCGAAGGAAAGTGTTCCGAGGGAGTGGAGCTTTGAGTGCTATACATTTGCATGGAAGAAGTTGAGACTTGGAGGTTCAAATACACATAGACTCAAGATCAGGGACAAATGCCATGGCTAACTGCGCTGGGGCCTGGGAAGAGAAAGGTTGGAAAATCACAGATAAGAAAGTCTAGGGTAAATGCTGGCGGATAGACTTAGGAAGGCAGGAAGGGGGAAGATCTTTGTTTCTCCTGTGAAAGTTCACAGGAGCACCCACCATGAAAGAGGCACTCATCAACCAGGGAGACAAAATGACTTGACTGGTTAACAATAGCCAGACTTTGTTATCAACTTCCTCAATGCTGCCTCAGCCAGTCATAAAGTAACCATGACAGTAGGGATAGAGGCTGGCCATGGCCACAGTGGCATAGAAATTTGTGCTTGTCATCTCCAGAACTCTGGGATTTAGGATTGAGAGGTTCTGACTTTCCAAGGTAACATGAACACTTCCTCTAGGGGACAGGGCAAGAATTTCATTTGTCTATAATCTATGACTGTTGTCTGTATGCTTCAGGCTCCTTGTGCCAGGGGACAGCAGGGAAGAAGAGGAGTTACCATCTTGACAAGGGCAGTTCACCCTCATCATCAGGTCCAGGAAGCAGAGCTGCTGTCACAGGGTGATGGCAGGGAGAATAGCACCTAGGTGATTCAATTCACTTGGGTCTCTTTGCATTCCCTTACTCAATTCTGATGGTAATTGGACAAGTTCAGCCACCTTGGCTTGAGAAGAGTATGGTAACTAGGGGCTTGGGCACTTAATGTATGAGGGTGTGCGTCATGTGCCAACAGGCACAACAGTGAGACCAACGATGAAGGAAAATCTAGAATGAGTTGTAGAGATGGGAAGAAATGAATAGAAGTTGTAGTCCAGACACCAGCTGCACCAAAGGCACCTAGTGTTCATCTCACTTTCTTCTTCTCAATTTCCCCCTGGAATCTTATAGAAGTTGTACCCAGAGCTTATAAAAAGAAGTGGACCTTGGGCCAACCCCATCCCAGTAGTTAAAGCAATCTGCTCCAACATGGCCAATTGCTGTTTGAATCTCAGGTCCAGCTACTTGAAAAACATGCTGGGCATGTGTGCTTGCAAGCCCAAAATTATGACAGGATGGAAACATAGAGAAAAAAGATTTCAGCGACCAAGACTCCTTGGGGAGGTACTTTCTACCTCTCTCTCTGGTGAGACAATTTAAAAAAAAATAAAAATTTAAAAATTGAAGTAAAATATTAAAAAATAAAAAAAAAAAAGTGACATTTAAAAGGCGGTGGAGGGGCACGAAGCTGAGCAAAGCAAGAACTGGAGTGGGCTGGAGTGAGCTGGACATGGGATCTACTTTCCAGATCTTTCTTGAGGATGCTTGCTGCCTAAAGGAAATGCCTTCAAGAAGACAGCTCTTGGATCTCAGCCCTTTTAGGGAATTGCCTTGACTGAAGAAACTGCCTGGCTAAACTGACAGCCTGTCTCCAACGACTGCCTAGTGAGTGGATATAAATGTTTGGTCCCCTCACCTCAATCCAGATAAATTCTGGAGAGCCTTTCCCTAGATCCATAGCTCCCTGGAGGGCTGGCTGAGGACTCTCTTAGGATGTACTACCGCTCAGCTTTGTCCAGTCTTGCTTGCTTTTTCTTCCGTCAACAGTGTTGGTCCCAAGCCTATTCCCTAATAAATCTCTTGTGTGCTAATCTCCATTTCAGAGACTGCTTCCTGAGAAACTCCTTCAAAACCGAATCAAGACCAAAAGGCATGTGCTGAGGGCTGACTGATCTCTTTGTATTCAGATTCATGGAAATGCCTGCCTGGAAGCACATAGGGATGGAACTTAGCCAAAACTGATGCCAATGTACTTTCCCACCTTACATCATGGTGCACAAGGTAACTGCTGATTTACTGAAAATCAGCCTCACTAGAGCATGGATTTTCAGTGATAGTCAGGTAAAAAATCTAGTAAATAGCAATGACAATTGCATGGCATTGTAAATATAATTAGTGCCATTGAATTGTATGTTTAAAAATGGTAAAATGGGGGGGACCAGCAGTTAGCATAATGGCTATGTCACTGGACCCCCATGTAGTCGACTGTGGTTCGAGTCCTGGACCTGGTAGCTTAAACTCATGCCAGGCGCGTGTGCATTCGTGCCCAAGATCCTGAGAGGAGAATGGAGGAGAAGGAATTGTGGTGTGGCCATCCCCACTAGGGGGTGATTTCTGGCTTTCTCTCTCTCTGTCTCTCTCTCTCTGTCTTTCTGGCGTGCACATACACCCTATAGCAAAAACGTCTCCAAAAAAAAAGATAAAAAAATGATAAAATAGGAAAGTTGGGTTATTGATATTTTACCACAGTTAAAAAAATGAATAATGTAATATATCCAAACCATTGGCCAGTATACTTTAAGTGAATGGATTATATGTATTTGAATTATGGTTTAATAAAGCTGTTTGTTTTTGTTTTTTAAAGAATATTGAATAGAGGGACCAGTAGTTTGTGTAATGGCTGTGTCACTGGACTCTCATGTAGTTGACCATGGTTCGAGTCCCGGACGTGGTGGCTTAAACTCACGCCGGGTGTGTGTGCGTGCATGCCCAAGATCCCTAGAGGAGAATGGAGGAGAAGGGATTGCAGTGTGGCAATTCCCACTGGGGGGTGATTCTCACTTTCTGTCTCTATGTCTATCTCTGTCTTTCTGGCGTGCGCATGCGCCTTATAGCAAAAACCTCTCCCCCCCCAAAAAAAAGATAAAAATGGTAAAATGGGAAAGTTGGTTTACTTTAAGTGGATGGATTTATGGATCAATAAAGCTGGTTTTTTTTTTTTTTCCTTTTTAGAATATTGAATGGAGAGACCAGCAGTTGGTGTAATGGCTACATTGTTGAACTCCCATGCAGTTGATTACGGTTCAAGTTCCAGACCTGGTGGCTTATTCTCATGCTGGGTGTGTGTGTGCGTGTGTGCCCAAGATCTCGAGAGGAGGAGAAGGGATTGCGGTGTGGCCATCCCCCCTGGGAGATGATTTCTCTCCTCTGTCTCTCTTTTTCTTTCTAGCGTGCGCATCCACTCTATAGCAAAAATCTCTCCAAAAAAAAAAAAAAAGTGCTTCTCTTTCATTTAAGAGGAAACTTTGAAAAGTTTATGGAAAACAGAATTAAAGTGAGTTTATTTCAGAGCAAAAAAGTTGAAATTTATGCATAGCTTTTTTATAATATGCATTTTCCATAAGGTTTTGAACATCCTTTATATGTGCCCTACCAGAATTTTGTACGTATGTGGATAAAATATTGGGCTGGCCCTATCGCCTAATAGTGAAGGGAACTGGAACCCACTTCGTCAACCAAGGTTCAAGTCCCAGCCCAACTCCTTTCTCAGGAGAGAAAGGACACTCCCCATTGGGCAATGTTCCCTCTGGCCAAAAAAAAAAAAAAAATTGCACACCGTTCTCTCACTTTGTATACCACTGATATTGTGCAACAGCTACCAATGTTCTTTGATAAAGAAACTTTGCCTGTAGTTCTGCCTTCCGCCTAAATATATCTATCAGTGCCTTTGTAGCTAGTTTCACAAACTCATTGGCAATAGTGTGGCGTAGACCTATTTTGTAATGCTGCTGTAGTATTGGTTTCTACATTACCTTTAGCAACAAAATTTATCAAGTTTTTACTGGGAAGCACTTGCCTTATTTTGGAAAAAACTTTGTTGTTCTATCAGAGAAGTCATTGTACTTTGTTGGAAAATGACACTGAAGCTTTCATGGCTTCCTGCTATTATCGGAAAACATTTTTATAACAGATGCTGCCCTGGAGGTCTAGAGGGAAACACATTACCGGTCCAATACAATCCAATTTTCATAGTTTTCTGGTCATACTTCCTATTCTGGACTTACAGGCTTACGTTTTTGTTAGCTTGTATAAGATCACCGTGGTCATGCTCCTATTTCATCCAGGGTACACGGCTTCATCTTCCTTCATGTGTCCTCGGATCTGCTCTTTCTTTACAGTTGTTACCATGACTATGGTATTTAAATCACTATTTTTATCATTACCACTCTTGAGCCACTGATATATTTTCATAAATTAGGAATAATGATAGAAGTGGGCTTTAAGAAGTTCATGAAACATGGGCATTATGAAAAAACTGTGCATGGATTTCAAAATTTGTGCACCAAAATAAATTTGCATGTTAATTCCATTTTCCCACAAACTTTTGAAATTCTCATGAAATGTTAACAACTAAAGATACAAATTCAATAAGTGAAAACAATGACATATTAGCTGAGTCAAAATCCGTAACACATAACTCTTGTTGGCCTAGATGAACTGATGGATTCCTGGGGTGACTAAGGGTCCAAGAATCTCATTTTGAGCACCCACATCCTGGTCTTTCTGTTTTCTCTCCTTTCTTTCCTCCCCTTCTTGGTACTGGACTTGTCACCTACCTTCTTGTTGTTCCCTTGCCTGTTGCTCTGTTTTCTTCTTGAGAATTATGGAACAGTAAGATGGAAAGAAACCTTGGGGATATTTAAGTCTATGACCTAATTTCACAGATAAAGAAATTGAAGTCCAGGGACCAGCAGTTAGCATAATGGCTATGTTGCTGGACTCCCATGTAGTCGACTGCTGTTCAAGTCCTGGACCCGGCGGCTTAAACTCACGCCAGGTGCGTGTGTGTGCATGCCCAAGATCCCAAGAGGAGAATAAAGGAGAAGGGATTGTGGGGTGGCCATCCCCCCTGGGGGGTGATTTCTCGCTTTCTATCTCTCTGTCTCTCTCTGTCTTTCCAGCGAACGCATATGCCCTACAGTGAAAAACGTCTCAAAAAAAAAAAATAAAAAAATAAAAAAGAAATTGAAGTCCAGAGAAGAACAATGAACTTATCCAAATCAGAAGACCAGATCTGGTCTGCTGACTCCTTCTTCCATGGGCCAGTGCTTTTCCATTTTCCATGAAAACATTAAACCTTCTCTTTTAGCTCTTCTTCCTGGTCCTCCTGTATGCTGATAGTGATTGGGCCCATAGTGATTAAAGTTGTTTGTTAACAGGACTAAAGAAGTATGGGTTTAAGGGAGTCAAAACTTCTCTCTTCTGTCTCTTCCCCCCTCTTCTTCCACCAAATACTCAGTTATCCACAACCTCTGTGCAGTTACTATCCTAAAATATCCATCACACTTAGCTACTCCTTTCTATACTGATCTCATTGCCTTAAATCAGGCTATCATCATCTTTCTCCTGTACTCTTTCAATAACCTCTTTTTTGACCTCTCTGCTTTTTAAGAACTAGCCCTCCTCTTAAACCTCAGCTCTAAATTTCCATCAGTATATCCATCCATTCATCCACCTATCCCAGTACTGTCAGAATGCAGTGCCACTAGTATTCCCTCTACTGTCTGATGGTGTCTCTCTCCTCTCTGGTGACTCTTAAATTCTTACTAGATAAAATTCAACTTTTTAGCAGGGCACATGAAAGTCAAATGTTTGTGTTCTGGTTCTTGCTCTCCTGTCTAATCTTATCCCTGTCACTCTGTATATTAGGCTAAGTTATGATATATAAACATGCAACTCCAAAATTTCTGCAGCCTAACACAACAAAGATTTATTTCTTACTTTCACACAATTCACTGGCTAACTATATAAAAGAACTATTTTCCGTGCAGAGACCCAGGCTGACTTGACTGTACAATTTTCCCATCTCCCCTGGTTTCCTCTTTGCCATGAGATAGAGAGAGAGAGCACAGGAAGGTAGGCACAAGCTCTTCTGTGCTCTAGCCTGACAGTAGTATCCACTCTCATTGGCCAGAGTTTGTCTCCTAACTTCCAGGGGGTTGGGAAATGCAGAGGGTATTGGTGAGCACTGCATTTCTGTCATGCTCCTTCCTTGTAGTCGGATCATCAGAAATATTTGACTACTTGTTCTCAAAAAGAGTATAAACTTTTCAAACTCTCCATGTTTTCCATGCAGGCATTACTCCCTGCATAGCATACCCTCTTGGTGACCTGAAAAAATCCTAAAGAGGCAAGTCTCTCTCTTTTTCTTTTTTTAAAAAAATGTCTCTATGGGACCAGCAGTTGGCGTAATGGCTATGTTGCTGGACTCCCATGTAGCTGACTGCGGTTTGAGTCCTGGACTTGGTGGCTTAAACACATGCCAAGCCTAAGATCCTGAGAGGAGAATGGAGGAGAAGGGATTGTGGCATGGCCATTCCCCCTGGGGGGTGATTTCTCACTTTCTCTCTGTCTCTCTCTCTCTATCTTTCTGACAAGTGTACGTGCCCTATAGCAAAAAACCTCTCCAAAAGAAAAAAAAGTGTCTCTACGTATTATTATTATTGACACATAATTGTATGTATTGGGTCATCAGAAAAGTCATTACGTATTTTTCTTTTTTTTTTTTTCTCTATAGGGCGCGTGCGCTCGCCAGACAGACAGAGAGAGACAGAGAGACAGAAAGCGAGAAATCACCCCCCAGGGGGGATGGTCATACCGCCATCCCTTCTCCTCCATTCTCCTCTCGGGATCTTAGGCACGCACGCACACTTGCCAGGCGTGAGTTTTAAGCCACCGGGTCCGGGACGTGAACCGCGGTCGACTACGTGAGAGTCCAGCGACATAGCCATTATGCTAACTGCTGGTTCCCCTTCTCTTTTTTTTAATATTTAATTTTATTTATTCATTCATTTATTTCAATTTGACCAGAGAGAGACACACACACAGAAGAGAGAGAGAGGGAAAGTGAGAAAGGAAGCCACCAGGTCCAGGACTTGAACCATAGTTGGCCATGTGGAAGTGTCCAGCACCTTAACCACCACGCCACCTGCTGGCTCCATGACATATTTTTCTATGCCAAAATGCATCATGACTTTTCTGATGACCCAATATTTATGAGCTACAGTGCAATTTTTCGGTATAAAAATTCAATGTGCAATTATCAAATAAGAGTGGTTAGCATATCTATCATCTCAGACATTTGTCATTTCTTTGTATTGGGAACATTTAAAGTCTTCTTTTTAGCTAGTCTGAGAAATACAATAAATTATCATTAACTATCATTTACTATATTATATACCACTAGAATGTGCTCCTCTTATCTATCTATAATTTTGCACCTGCTAACTAATCAACATCTCTCTCCCCTCTTCCTAACCTCCAACAATCTCTATTCTGCTCTCTACCAAGTCTCTTCTAAAAGGCCAACTCTGTCTGGCCCAGGCCAATTTAGTGCTTCATTCTCCAACGTTCCCACTGCGTCTTGTAGTTCTCTCCATCACAGCATGTATTTTTTTATTTGTTTGTTTGTTATAATTGTTTGCCTGGATGCTTTCCTCCAAACTGAAATCATATTGTTGATAGGGAAAGTGTACTTTCATTTTTAGGATCTCAGTTTTAACACTGTGGTCCATAGAGATTTCATATCTTCATATCAGTATAGATAAACAAATAATTGAAACAAATGACTACAAGACTATCTAGTTTCTTATTGTGCTCTCTTCCATCTAACTACCACTACCTTAGATCAAGCCAACTGTCTTCTCTTGCCTGGATAACCTCAGTGCCCCTTTTGATGTACTTCTTTAATTCTCGCCTCTATTTAATCCATTCTCCACTAGGCAACCACATCATTATGAAACACAATTTCCTTAGAATAAAGTCCAAACATCCACATTCCTTCCCATGACCCTCAAGGCATGATCTTGCCCCTGCCTGCCAATCGGTTCTTGCCTCTCTCTCTTCCGGTGGCTCCCACACTGGGGCCTCCTCTTAGTTCCCTGAGCACACTACGGTTTTCCTCTCTCCAGAGCTTTCTCAGGGCTGTTTCTTGTGCCTGGAATGCTTCTACTTCCTCTTCTCTCTTGGTTAGCTCTTTCTGTCTTTAGCTGATATATCATTTCTCG